CAGGCACATGACAAAGGACTTCAAGAACGGCGGTGCTTATAGTGCGCGCACTTGGATTGTGTTTTACATTTATATAGTCGTTACAGCGAACGTGGCTGTCAATCCTTGGGCACGCCCACTCCAACGCCAACGAACAGAAAAAGAATGCCACGCCCACATTCTCCATTTTGTCGTTTTCAAATTGGAATTCATTTTGCATGCCTTACTTATAGATATGCCCAAAAGCTGATAAATATTTAACAGGGCTTGGCTTGGAAGGCATAACGACTTGCCTTCGAATGCGTATTTAATGTTTATGCATATGGGAGTAATGTACACTGTCACCTGAAGCCAAATTTTTTAAAATTGATCAAGTGAGTAACGGGTATAAGATAGTCGAGACACTTAACAGCTTGCATATTCTAGGGACGCCAGCGCTGTGCAGGTTTGTTTCAAAGCGTTGTCACGCCCACAATATCTCTTGACAATATATAATTTCGGGTTTAAGTAGGATCTGTCGGAAAATTAATTGAAACAAGATAATAATAAACAATAATTCTCCGACTATCAGATACCCGTTTCTGAGCTAGTGGAACTGCGAACGAGAAATTGTAAAATTTTTTTTGCATTTAGCTAGAAAGTGGGAAAAATCAATAATAACGTACATAAATCAAGAGAAAGTGCTATAGTCGACTTCCCTGACTATGAGATACCTGTTTCTCGTTCATCCTCCTATTAGTGGGTAACGGGTATCTGGTAGCCGAGAAACTCGACTATAGCGTGCTCTTTTATTTGGAATATAAAGTTTGGTTACTCTAGCTTGCTCATTGAAACTGCATTCTCATATCTCTCATACCCATGAATCCCGAACTGCTTAAAGTTTTTATATTCTAGCTCGAAATACGCGCCGAAGGGCGTTAATCATAATAATCCAATACACCTTTAAAAAGATATTCAAAACAACGTTTATGAAAGCAATGAAAGCGTATATTTCGTAGGAAACCTTTGTTTTAGCCTACGCTAAGCAACATCGGTTGTCTGACATTTTGAAGAACTGCTACTAAAAGGAAAACAAAGCTTACTTACTTAGCTTAATTTATATACATTTAAGTAACGAAAACGATCATCAATCACATATAGCAGATAGCCACAGGGCTACTTCCCTTTGAATCTATAGTATAGTCGAGTATAAATCGAGTACAAAATTATTTTGCGTGAATGTATCATATTTAGGCAAAATACTTGTAAATTAAAGAATGGAAATGCCTTTTCAACGACATATATCGCAAAATATTCCGCTATTCTAAAAAATAACTACAATTTCTTAGGTGAAATTGTCCACGGTGATATAAAATACAGTTTTCAGCACAGTTTTCACACCAATGCAATCCAAAGGAATATAGAACACCATATATAACATTTAAACAAAAGTTTTTAGCTGTTGTCAAATTAAGAGCTTTCCTGTTCCCATAAAATGTTTACGTAAAATTCTATTTTCGTAGCTATAACTAGCTCTTGTCGCTCAGAAGCTGGAATCATAAGCGAATTCCCAACTTTGCGCTTATTTCGCTCGGAATCCTTGTGTCGGGAAGGACAGCCCTAAACCTAAGAGCCCAGGAAAGTGAAAGAAGACAACGCAGAAAATAATTGGAGATGATGGAAGAATAAATAAAAACAATGCAATGTATAATTGTAATAACATTTGTCTGGACGGGGGTGGAGAGGAGATATCGAGCAGGAAATTTAGGGGGAAGCCTGAATAAATGCGGAGATAGACCTGAGCCGAATGTCTGGGGAAAGTAACAACTTTTCAGTGTCAGACTGTTGTCTTCTGCCCTGACAGAATTGCTTCAATAAAAACACTAAGTAATGCGAAAACAGACAGCAGGAAGTGCTCCCAAAAAAAACAAAAGAGCCCTTTTCCACATGCCAAGCACACAGAGTAATTCTTACTTAACGAGCCACCGAAACGTATTCACGCTCAGCTTCGTCCCCCAGGGATACACGGGAAATGTATCCTAGCAAGGTCCTGATTAGCTCTCTTTGCACAGTGTATGTAGCGCCTCTCTATGGTCGTTCTATTAGGGCCTAATTGTGGGCAATTACTTGCCGCTCAGCTAATAAAAACCTTAGAGATATTTGCGCATTTCAACTGATGATTTTCGGCTTAGACCTAAGCAAACACTGCCAAAAATTGAAGTGTCCAGTTGAGTTGTCCTTGCCATTACATGTGGGCGAGTTGCACACACCATGACACACCAAACAGTGGCCCACACAACATCTCATTAGCAGGCGGCTGACACAGTTATTAATAATTCATTCAGTGCTAATAGAATGTTTGTAGTTCGAACGGCCCACATGACGCAGAGGCCCAAGTCCCAGGACAGGGGACATGGATTCGAAGCTTTTTCGATAATTAGCCAATTTCCTGAATATTTCAGAACTCAGCTGAGCACTCGCCTTATACCTGGACTGGTTGCCAGTCAAACTGCTCGTGTAATGCTCCTGTCATCGATTCGCGTGGTCCGGCCCACCAACGTCTTTGGCTTGATTATGCAAAGTCCTCATTAAGGGATCCGTTTGTAAAGCTCCAGGAAGGAGTTGTAATTTGAATTGGCTGCTCGACGACTTCCAGCCCATTGTTAATGTTTGTATTGGGAGTAAATCCAATTTTCAGACATAAAACCCTTTATGGCTTTTTAACAATTTAGCCACTATTCGATTGACTTTACTTTCCCCAAGCCTGGTCCATTTGTGCCCCTTATAGTATCGACTCACTTCGCTGCCCTTTGTCAGGCTTTTGCATTCGGAGCCCCATGGACTTTGCCAAAAACTCGGATTGCAAGTTGCAATCAAACGGAAAACACTAAAAGATGCCAGCCGATATACTCGCTTATCTGCAAAGGGTGGCACAATGCGGGTTGAACACAATGGCAGATACATAAGCCGGTCAGTTCGGACCAAGAGTCACAAAATAAATGAAAATTAAAAGTTGGCAGCGACCTGATTGTATAGCTGCGTTCCCGGGCTTTTGAATGGTAATCGCCGGGCCAGCAGCGTCTCGAATTATCCTTAACCTTTCGCTTGGAGAGTGGCAATTTAAAGCACCTAAAACTCATAGGAGAATATCAGTTGGAAAACCCCGCAGACGTGTACCAGCATGACATCATCGTGCACTAAACGGGGTCCTGGGAATGACATGATTTAAAAACCAGAATAAAAACAAAGACTCTCACTCGAGACGGAGACGGAGACACAATGAAGTGAAATGAAGCAAGAACGTTGGGAAGCATCAGCAGGCTGCCAGCCAGTCTACGCACTGATCCAGTGACGCGTTCAGGCATTTGGCCAAGAAGCGGCCTCATAACTAAATGGGAGCTCACATGCCCTATCACCCTTGTGCCCGTTTCTGTTTTTGCTGTGGCAGCAGCATCGGCATCAGCATCAGCATCAGCATCAGCCGACTTGCTTGTAATTCGTTATTTAAATATTGCTTGTTTTTGATCTGACTTGGCGCTTATAGTTGAGAACTGAGCTCGCAGCTGAGCAAAAAGCATGCCGAATATGCAGGATACACACTGGCAGGCGTTTTCATGAGCTGTGCGCACAAAATCAAATCGAAACAAATTGCTTTTTAGCAGAGACTCAATTTAAATACATATTTGCGGTTCCATGACCAAAAAAGTGGGGCGTCCTCGGGCGGATGATAAACACACATTACGCAAGTCGGCCACGCTCATTAGCCAGCACACGAGGTGTCGAACTACAAGTCATAAAACTGGGCCGCCCCGTTGGTTCCGGCCACAACGGTGGGGCAGGGTAGGCAGTCCAGGAACGGGGCGTGCCCCACTTGCCCACAGTTGCCCGGCTACGGACATGCATGCGAGTCCCCGAGGTGATAAAATGCTCTTGCTCCAATCGACCCACTTGTCCGGTGACAGTCCAGAATTGATATAGGACTTCCGCGCGCACACATCCTGCCGCCCTGGTGACCTTTCTCTGCTTCCCTGCTTCCCCGCTTCTCTGCTTCCCCGCTTCACCGCTTCTCTGCTCGTGTGTACGTGCATTCACGCTTTTAAATATGAAACGCGCATTAATTTTGACATCGAAGCGGAAATACATTTAATTGCTTTCTGCGCGGCCGCTCCCCAACGCCCCGGCCCAAGCAGACTTAATCGCACGCCCCCAACGAAAACAAGCCCACGCGTCTTATCGCTGGGGGCTCCGTCCCGTACACAAAAACAAGATTCGCCATTAGCGCTCGTCTCCAAGGGCTTCGTTAGCAAATATTTAGCTGGCGCTTTCATTTTGTTATTTCGCCAGAAAGCCGTCGGATTCCCGATCTCCCATTTGCATGAGCTACTGCCTCACAAATACAGTCCGGCTGTATCGTAATCCTATCGACCTTGGGGCGGCTGAAAATATAGTTGCGAGAGCCTTTGCCAACCAATTAGTTTGTCTGCGACACATGACTTCTGCTCTTGGAACAGGAGTCTGCATAAAACTGTGTTACAAGTGTTTTGATGTGAATCAAACGACAATTATAAATCCCTAAGTCAACGGGCTTCCTAACTTTTTAACATAAACAAAATTAAAATAGTTGTGTTCTGGACAATATGTTTTAAGCGTAGCTTTCTTAGCGAACTCTCACTCTCAGATTAGTTATTTGAGTCGCTGAAATATAGTCCTATATAGTCCTATATAGTCCTATTTAATCAGAATCCTAGGTGTGGCCAATTGCAAATCTGCTCTTCCGAACCCCAATTTCATTTAAACTTTTCTTGGTTAATAACCAGCGCAGTTAGGCATTTACCTCCCCTAATGAGTAGGTGATGTGTTTTCAAGACACGTTCGTGTTACATGTTTGACAGCAGCCGAGCTTGTTCTTGCCGCAGGCTATAAACCAGAGCCAAACTTCCAAGTCCCACGTAAATAAGCTAAATCGGGACAGGAGCAAGGTGAGAGGAAGCGGCGCAAGGCAGAAAGTCACAAGCCCCACGTCAACCACATGTCATACTCACTAGCGAGAAACGGCCAACTGTGAATCACTTTCCAAGTGCGGCTGAGCCCGGAACGGATGCTGGAGCGGATTCGGATGCGGATGCGGATTCCAGTCGCTTGTGGATCTGCTATTCTTGTGTCTAGCTGTCGGGCACTCGCGAGCTTCGATTGGGGCTTATCGATCATGCACGGCTCGGACTAAGCCATCAGGCATGCGTCCGCAGAACCCGCACTCCGGCACAACTCGAATGCAATGCGATTTGGGTCAAAGTGGTGGCAAAACGACAATGCAGTCGCACATTTCACAGTTGTCACTACCGATTCCTGTTCTCGAATTCCCGGATTCTCAATAGCTCTTGCGCTCGGGCGTTTCGGGTTGGCTTACGTTTCCGCTTTTACTTTTAGCCACCGTTGACTGCAAGCAGTCTTCGCACTCGCAGTGGTTCTCAGAAACAGTTGACTTGACGCGGAGTCACTGGCGAATTTAACGCCCGCCACGCACCAGTTTTCGCGAGCACCAAGGCGTTCGCAAGGATAACACGTCCGTGGGAGCCACGGCAAAACACCCAACTTGAACTTGGCAGTCGCGCTGCACCCTTTAATTGGGGCAACTTTGGTAATTTCAAACGCACTTTTGCCGCCGGAATCCCCCAACTTCAAATCCAATTGTTGTTGCTGTGTTGAATGGTATGTCAATGGTCGTTGTGTTGTTGTTGCTAATGGGCAACGAGCGATGCTAATGCCGTCGCTTCCGCAGCGTGCACAGCTTTCGACGAGCAAACGAAGTGAACTGACAGGACGACCAGGACTCAGTGCGCCTTCGGAAGCCGCTCGCCACTGGAAGGGAGCGTCTGCGGCTGCGCCTCGCTCAGATGAGCGAAAGCTGAGCGGAAGCTTCGTCAAGCTTTCAGGTCAGCGACATTAACCGCTACACCTGACTTCCATGGCTTCCAGGGCGCTGGCAGCCTAAGAGAGTCCCCTCCGCGCTCTCGCTCTTGCTCTCGCGCGCGCCCTCTCTTAGGGGTCTTCGCGGGAACTCTGAATTGCCTGGTCCCAAGATGACCAAATTGTGTCACATTTGCGAACGGAACTCACTTTGCCAAAGTCACGTGCCGGAGCGTTTGGCTGCTGGAGGCCCCAACAGCCGGACCTCTTATGGCGCCCACACTTCGCAAGTACAACTGGCGAATCAGTGTCCCGCAAATTGATATCCTAATGCAACTGGCAGTCAGAAGGCACGCACGCCCGACGGACGGAGGACGGAGGACCGCCGCAAGCGGAGCCGCAAGCGTTGCCGCAACTTGCAACTAAACTTTTGCGGTGACCAGATCCGAACGTGGAATAAGTCCCCCGGCCAACTGACAACTACGACGACAGCTATCGGTAGCCACCAGGATGCAGGACAAGTGCAGGAGTGTGTTCCCACATGCCGCTTGTCGTATTCCATTAGTGAGCCGACCAACCTTAATGATTTCTTACTTACAGCGCGCCATTTCCACGCTGGAGTGACTGTGTGCGGGCGAGAGCGCCAGCTCACGCACACTCACTGTTGCAGGGGCATAATCGCAATCGCATTCGTATTGGTTTGCAAGTGCTGTGGCATCTGCGAGTCGGCCAATGCGTTTCGAGTGGGGTCGCCGTCTTAATCTGCAAGAGGTTGCGTGTGTGTCTGTGTGTCTGTGTGTCCGCATCAGCGGTCGGGTAAAAGTTCAGGAAATTGCTTTTGCATGAGCCACTTGGAACGCGGCGGACGGGAGCTCCCGGGAGGGCGGAAGAGCGGAAGAGCGCCAGTTGGCCGGACGCGCGTCCTGGCCACACAAAGGAAGCTGTGGCGATTGAAAAGTATTGGGAATTGACTGAGATCGCAAATTGTATAAGCTGCACCGTTCGAGTCCTAGTATCCTTAATTAGGAGCGGACTCGCTCGGGATTTAAATGCACAGAAATTGAATTATTGACGCCGCTCACTAAAGTAACTCAAGCAACAACGCACTACACAACCACAGCCGCCATTTGGCCCTGTATTCGCTATTGGCTTGCATGTTCGCCGGTAATCCAGTCAATGATCAATATGCTAGATTCATTCACTTTGACCCCGCTCAACTTTGCCCCATCAACCGTCTGTCGACACTTGCAAAGTCATGTTTTGTTGTCACCGAATGCAGTTTTTCCTTTCAGTTTCATTTCGCATGAAACACAAAGCCTGCTTTTTGGCGGCCAAAAAAACGAGTAACAAAGAGAAGCGCTGTAGTCGAGAGACGCGACTATTAGATACCTGGTACTTAGAAAATTAGCTTCCAGATGATTACATCCTACTTTTATATCCAATATCCACCAAATAAATGACTCGCTTTCGAAAGGTTTACAGAATCGAGAAGACTTGCGTATTTGGGGCCGCTCACAAAATAAACTTTTTTTACATACTTATTTTTAAACCTATTTTAAGTTCAAAATAGTGCAAAGTGGGTCTAATTCTATGCTACCGATTTTGATCGTGTTCTTGCATATAAGACATAAATCAATTTGGTATTGCTTTTGTACGGAAAACAATTATATTTAATGTGAAATTCGTTTGGTACCTTCAGCTACGTTGTATTATTTAACTTCGGCAACTTTTAATTTGAAAATACTCGCAAAAAGTTGACAACACTACTTAAAAAGTGACGTAATTTACAATTTTATGCACACATATACATAGGTATCGAAAACGGAGCTTAATTTCATTATTTTAAGCATTCTTTCCAATGTTACTAAATACACTTCCGAGTAAAAATTAGAACTGCCTGGATATAGATGGTGATATTATGATCATCCAATAGCAGTACCGTTTTGGAAACTAATATCTCATCTCAGTTGTAGTTCACTGGAGTAAATAGTTGTATTTATGGGAATGCCATATTTGAAGAGGGCTTGAGCTATTCTACCCTTTTATTTCTATTTGGAGATGGCTACACATATTTAAACTTTTAGATGTTTATAACCCGCCTAATTGTACACGTAGAGTTACTTGATTACACGTCATTGGCCATGATCTGTCTCTTAGCCACAAATGAAGAATAAATAGATATAGGTTATGATACCTATATCTGATCTATTCCAATCCATTTCTCTGTGAGTAACGGCTATAAAAATTTATTGTTTCCAAAATGTCGGCTATAGAGAAAGGACTACGGCCTTCCATCAATGGATCAAGCCCTATAGGCTTGTAGGCAAATTGAAAACGATCTATCATTATGACGAAGTCCCTACTACTTTCTGGTATTCCAAGCATTACCTTAGGGAAGTATGGTAAGTGGAAAGATTAGAGTGTGATCGGCAGGCATCACACCGAATGCCTCAGGAGCACCTTAGCCGCTTATGTTTCCATTATTCACTTTACCTCTGATCGATACTGGTATGAAGCTGACTCATAAGTGAACATTAAGCACAGTGGTTGATTGGCACGAGCATTCAGAAATTAATTTGATTCCCTGAATTTCCAATTATCCAAGCCAAACAACTACAGCTCATTGACACAACCGGCAGAACCATGGCAACCGTTGATCAATGAAATCGCTTGGAAGTTGGTGTTACACCCCCAAACACATATGGAAACGTGGGACAGCATGTATACATTTGCCTCGTAATGTTGGGCTATTAAATCAATTTCGTTTGTTGCTCTTTTGCACTACTTTCACTTGCTGTACGAGTATGTCAGGCAGTCGAAGTTGGCTGTCAGGCAGACCAAGTGGGACTCGTGTCTGGGCCAAGTTAATGTCTAGGCTGACTGAGCATGCAATATTTAAGGAGTATGGAGCTAGACGGCTTTCCAGGGAAATCATTGCCTCCCACCGCAGAGCTTTGTGTTCCAATCCGTCCTTGTTTGCCCAGTCTACAAGTATGTGAATGTGTGTATGTGGGGACAATCACACCGCGAATAATTATTAAGTTCAAATATGCGTGGCAGCCGTGTAAATATTTACTGCATGAAACAAATTACCTGATTACATTTGGGTCAAGCCATTTTTGCCACCAAAGTGACGCTAAATGCTCTTGTTGCTCTTATTTGTGTGCGGGTGTGCCCAAAAGGACCACCGCCGCACATTCGCACAATCACGTGGGTAAACAAAACACTGCCCCTCGTAGCAGTATCATAGCAATCAGTTAGATGTATGTGCGGCATACTCACGGGTCACACAGACAGAAATTAATTAAAAGTTTGTATGTTGCTGCAACAGAATGTCTAGCTTGTTTATTTGCCCTGCTGTGTACGTTTGCTCGTTGCTCTGTCGCTTGTCTGCTTGTTGGTTGTCTGTGTTGGTTGCAGCCATTGTTTTTTGTACGCGAATGTTTCCCATTTTTTATGTATTTTCACGACCTTGTAAGTTAACAATTTTGGCCACTCACTCTGTCGCAATGTTTACAAAATAGTAATGGCATTTACGACCCTGGTATGCACTCACCGTCATGTATTTTTACATGTTTGTCTATGTGTGCGCCAGGTTCTGTGCTGCTTTTGTTGCCTGTTCTCATAGTAGTTCTTTTGACCATAATTTAAAGTCCATAACGGGATTGGCACCGGAAGAGGTAAGTCGTCAAACTGCGTTTTTATGGCTTGGAGGAGCAGCGCAAATGGCATTATGCATATTGTGTTAGACACGCTGATGAAATATGTACATCTTAAGCTCACTAACATTTGCGTGCGTAGAACCAACATCTATTTTAGCAATCTGACTAATTAGTTGAAAACAAGCTCCTGCAATGATGATAAATAATTTAACAAAAGATTATTCAAGAAAAGGTAAATCAATAATTGGTTGCTTAGCTCGAGTCATGGCAACTTCGGCTGTCAGGATTTCTGACTGCACCCCTCCGGGCTGTTTAATAATTTTGAGGTCTCAGCAAAGGCTCCACTAATTTGCAACAAATCAAAAACAGATTGACACTTGGTTATCGTACTCGGAGCTTTGCAGGCAGTGTGTTTTGCGAGTTTGCCATGGAGGAGGCTGACATCCTGCTCAAAAGCTGGGTCGTGTGCATTCATGTGGCTGCGTGTGTGTGGGTAAAGTGGGCGTGGTAGCTCACTTCGATAGGTCGCTCCGAAAATGTGTGTAAGCTACTGCAAACATATTCGCACAGCTGCGCAGCATGGCATTAATTTCCGTTAATTAAAATAAATACGTCAAGCGATAATAAATGATGGCGTGGATATCAAGCGAGCTCCCGTAAAGCATGCTCCAAAACGATCCAAAAGACACACGCCGCCTTCAATTAGTCGACCACTTGAGGCCCGAGCACTTGCATCGGTGGTACCGTCTCCTGTGTCTACTTTGGGCTCTGCAAAGCGCTGCAATTAAAGGATAACTGATTTGGCCAGAGACAACATCAATTCTGCCACGCCCCCCGTTGGCGAGTTCTGAAAAACAGGCTGAGTTCTATTCAAATGCTGCGATGTGTCAACACATAAGCCCTTCTTACCGGGCGTGGGATGTGCAGGTTCACCTCGCCAGGACTGAGCAAATGGAAGCTTGCCAAATAGCCGGGCCAAAGCACAAATGACACTGACGGACCCGGGGAGCAAACGTATTCAAGTGTGCAGGCTCGGCAGGAGCAAACAAAAGGTTATCCATGGCCTTGCCGGTGTTCCTTGGACACCGTGCTCACACACGATAGGGGAAGTAGCAACAGCTGCTCGGCAGAGTTCCTCGTAGCCGGCTGATGCGGCTACGGGTGTCCCTGCTATTGAAATGTGTAGTAATGAAAAAATGTCAGCTTACACGTGGCAGGACAAGGGAAGTTGGTAGCTGTGCTGTAGCTATCGCCGAAGCTGAACCAGAAGCAGAAGCTGAAGCTGAAGCTGAAACTGAAGTTGAGGCAGACACTGAAGGTACATTCAACAAAAGCGACAGCGACAGCGACAACAAAACATGTGTCAACTGCCAGACATCCTGAGCAATATTAATAACACTCGGCGAACATATTTTTCATTAAAGCTGCAAGGGGATGTCACCGAGTCGCTACACAACACAACATCTGGGCATCTGGGCATCTGGGCGGGCTTACTCTTTAAGGATGATTATGCTAAGCTTTCAGCACACACTCGCCCTCACGCTCACAGGCTAACAAGAGAGAATTTAATAAATGTAGTTAGGAGGGCGATTAGCGGCCATTTTGCACTCCTCCCACGCGCAGGACGGCCTTTAAAAGTTTCTGGGAAAACCTTCGCTCCAAACTCGAGCTGCTGTTTTTCTCCTGCCGCGCTGCAATTGCAGGCAAACACTGGCCCCAGGCAAAGTTAAAGCGGAGCGGCTCACGCGGCACACTACGTATGGGGAACGTCTTAATTGCCATTAAGGACCCGTCTGCTATTTTCGCTAACTTTTCCATAATTTATGCATGCTGGAAATCCAGCATGTGAAAACGAGTGCAGCCCGACCGATGCAGTTTCAAATTCAAATTCAATTCCGTCAAATCGGAATTCGGGCAACACACTGTATAGTATAAACAATGTTTGTTCTAGGCAAGTGCTTTCACTGGTTAATTAAACAGCAGCAGAGAAATTCTCAAGTTAATAATTGAACAACAGCAAGGGCCACAAACTTAACGAAAACTTTTCGAACTCATTGAAAACTTCATCTATAAAAATGCCACAAGTTCGGAAGACACCGGCCTATATAAGCCTGCCACCAGAATACTGCGCACACTGACGCCGACATGGTCTTTCAGCTGATACGTCCCGCTCCGCTCACGGAGCAGAAGCGGTCCCGCGATGGCTGCATCTACCTTTACCGCGCCATGAAGTTCATTGGATGGCTGCCCCCCAAGCAGGGCGTGCTCCGGTATGTGTACCTCACCTGGACGCTCATGACGTTCGTGTGGTGTACCACATATCTGCCGCTCGGCTTCCTTGGCAGCTACATGACGCAGATCAAGGCCTTCTCCCCGGGCGAATTTCTCACTTCACTCCAGGTGTGCATTAATGCCTACGGCTCCTCGGTGAAAGTGGCAATCACATACTCCATGCTGTGGCGCCTGATAAAGGCCAAGAACATATTGGACCAGCTGGACCTGCGCTGCACCGCCATGGAGGAGCGCGAAAAGATCCACCGAGTGGTGGCCCGCAGCAACCACGCCTTTCTCATCTTCACCTTCGTTTACTGCGGCTATGCCGGCTCCACCTACCTGAGCTCGGTTCTAAGTGGGCGTCCGCCCTGGCAGCTGTACAATCCCATTATTGATTGGCATGACGGCACACTCAAGCTCTGGGTGGCCTCCACCTTGGAGTACATGGTGATGTCAGGCGCCGTGCTGCAGGATCAATTGTCGGACACCTATCCGCTGATCTATACACTCATTCTTCGTGCTCACTTGGACATGCTAAGGGAGCGCATCCGACGCCTCCGTTCCGACGAGACCTTCAGCGAGGCCGAGAGCTATGAAGAGCTGGTCAAATGCGTAATGGACCACAAGCTGATTCTAAGGTATGGGGAACTTGTAGCTGCAGCTGCGACAACTTACCTTTATTTATCCCCCAGATACTGCGCTATCATTAAACCAGTAATCTCAGGCACCATCTTCACACAGTTTCTGCTGATCGGCTTGGTGCTGGGCCTGACGCTGATCAATGTGTTCTTCTTCTCAGACATATGGACGGGCATCGCATCTTTTATGTTTGTCATAACCATTTTGCTGCAGACGTTTCCCTTCTGCTACACATGCAACCTCATCATGGAGGACTGCGAGTCCCTGACCCATGCCATTTTCCAGTCCAACTGGGTGGATGCCAGTCGTCGCTACAAGACAACACTACTGTATTTTCTTCAAAATGTGCAGCAGCCTATCGTTTTCATTGCCGGCGGCATCTTTCAGATATCCATGAGCAGCAACATAAGTGTAAGTGGCAAAGTAATACACGCCCTGCGAATTGTATTTCATTTTCTACCTCACCTTTAGGTGGCAAAATTTGCTTTCTCCGTGATAACCATTACCAAGCAAATGAATATAGCTGACAAATTTAAGACGGACTAAGGTGCTACACTTTTGTATCCTTTATTGAACCCTCGTTCTTCCCCAAATCGCGACCCCCATAAACAATATATTTCCAGCATATGCTTACGCTTACACTGGCTTCTATATTGGTTCTTTAGTTTTGCTTCAAATAAAGATTTGTATTAGGGAAGTGTTTATTGTGATACCTACGCTGTGCAAGTTTCCACGGCCTCGCTTATGCCGCAGGTCGCCAAAAACTGCCACGGATACACTTTCTATAGATTTCCATAAAAATATTTTGAATACGCCCACTCATATGCCATGTCATGACAACAAATTTGTAAAGTGCTACCTTTTGTATCATAGTTTTTGTCCACTTCTATCGATACAACATTCAAAATATCTGAGTATCTCTTGTTTTTCAACTATTAGTAAATGATTTTCGAATTAGTAAATATTGTTAAAATAAGATAGGCCTCAAAATCCATCCAGCACTTCTTTCGTTGAGTTCAGTACCGTGGAAGTCTGGAAATTGGTTTAGGCCAAGCGGCCTGCACTTCAGATTACACGAGCATGATTTATTGCTTCAGATCAATTTAGTGTCAGACTAGTGTCAGACAACCTAGTGTCATTTAAGATTTCGTAAAAATCTAAATGGTATTTGGCTTAGCAATGTCGCCAAGAACAATAATTTCGTGTAATCCACATAATTTCTTAAATCCCCAACACCGAATTAGATTAAAAAAATTATGTTCAAATCGAAAAAATGTTAATGTGCCCTTATCAAAGTTTATGAGCCAAAGGAGCCAGAACCAGGAACATATATAGTCTAGATAGGAATGGGGCTTATTCCTTGGCGTCCGAGTCGTCTGCGGCCAGTTCTGAAGTCTCCTCTGCATCGCCAAAGTCGTCGAGGGATTGCACATCCTTGAAGTGTAAAACCATGACGATCATAGCCATGAACAAGAGCACGGATACGGTAATATTATCCCTCGCCACATCCATCTCGATGGTCCACAGGTATTTGCTGAGTTTCGAAGTGCATCCGGTGCAGTTCTGCTGCCCGCAGCAGGAGCCAATGGGCCAGGTGCGGTTGCTCGAGGCTGTCTGGTAGTCCACTACGCCGGTCATTCCGCAACACTCGAACTCGACTTCGACCTTGCCTAGGCTCTTTCCCACCCACATCTGCAGCACCAGCATCTCGACAAAGAACTCGAATCTTCCGCGATACATGAAGCGAGTCACTCCGATGCTAACTGTGTACAGCAATACCACGCAGCCTATGAGCACATAGCCCGCGAACTTCAAGGCGGTCGGATGTTGGGCCATGCAAATCCCAAGAACCGCGTTCAGAATGTAGGCAACCATTGTCAGAGCGCGTACCCAAAAGAGCCAGGGGCGCAAGGCGACCGGGTATAGACGCAGGCCCGGGAACATGACCACCTTCAGGTAGAGGTGGCTGAGCACGTCAAGCAGAAAGATCAGTCCGACCACCACCAAAACCACATTAATCTGCAACACGCAGTCGTGCGACATGCGACACCAGCGAAACGGATTAACCATTCCGTCGGGTTAGGCTCCAGTTGATGAAAGCCGAGCTAGATGAGCAGCACGAATTCCGGTTGTTTTACTTTGAAGTAACGAGACTTCTGCCTACTGTCGCCCTGACGTTTTCCACTTGGCTCCGCTGCTGATTTAAGCCAGTGTGTCCCGCCTCAAGTGCCTAATATAAACATTTATATTGCAAGCTCTTGGGCCTAGCCCTTTGAGTCGTCACTTTACTTTCATCAGGATAATGACCTAAAGCACACGGCATTAAATACGCGCATATGGATGTTGTACAACATTCCTCCTGTAGTGAAAGCACCTCCGCAGAGTCCCGATATAAGCCCCATTGAACAGTTGTGAAATAAATTGAAGCCAAACTTGGGGGAAAGGAAATAGGCAGCAAATGAAATTTAAAGGCGGCCCTATGTTAGGAGTGGGTGGAAATGGACCAATCCCAAAACTTTAGTTTCTTCAATACCTAGACGTCTTAATGAAGTCATAAAAATAAAAGGATATCCTACAAAACATTATTAATAAATAAACAATGTGTTTCGATTTTACGCTTAATGTAGTTTTTATACCCGTTACTCGTGTAGTAAAACGGTATACTAGATTCCCTTCCGACCATAACAAATATGTATATCCTTCATCAGGATTTATAGCCGAGTCGATCTGGCCATGTCAGTCCGTCCGTCTGTATGATTTTTTAAATAAAATGTATATTTTGTAAATTTCTACAGATTTGACAAAAAACTTTTTGCCACGCCCACTGTAGCGCCCACAAACCGCCCAAGACTGTCACGCCCACATTTTTGAAAAATGGTTGGATTTTTTTTTTTTACTTTTTTATTAGTCTTGTAATTTTCTATCGATTTGACGAAAAACTTTTTGCCACGCGCAACACTGCTACACCCAAAATTTTGGGAAAAGTTTGGATATTTTTTCATTTTTTTATTAGTCTTGTAAATTTCTATAGAAAAAACTTTTTGCCACGTCCACAAACCGCCCAAATCTGTCACTCCCACACTTTTGAAAAATGTTGTAATATTTTTCACTTTTTTATACATCTTGTAAATTTCTTTAGATTTGCCAAAATACTTTTTGCTTTGCCCACTCTAACGCCCACCAAACGCACAAAACTCTCAGAGCCACGTTAAAAAAAAAAATTTAATTTTTTTTTTCATTTTATTATTTTTTCCCCAAATTCTACAGATATTCCAGAAAATTTTTGAAATTTCTCGTTTGCACTTCCACTATCTGGGTAACGGGTATCTGATAGTCGAGGATCGACTATAGCATTTTATCTGGATTTGAGATCTAAAGACTTCTTTTTTAAATCCTGGATCGAGAAGTGTGTAACCTTTGTCCAGTTTTTCAGTGGAGTTCAGCAACAAGCTGTTTGTCAGCTTAAAGATATTTGCTTAGTTATTTCGTCAAAAGAGGTAACCACTGTAGGAGGCGATAAAAACGTCAGTTTACTTCACTTTCCACAAACGAAGTTTTCTTTATTTTCTCATTCCGTTCCATTCTTAGCCTACTACTTATGTCTATTGGTGTGTCGGATGCTGATCGTGTAGTATGCACATATAGCGATGTTCCACTGTAATAACAACAAACGCATTGTAGCACTCTGTTGCAAGGTGTATATAAAAAATTCAGCCCAAGTGCACGCGTAACAGGGCTACGATGGCAGCGCTGCTCTCGAATTAGGCTAAGAAACCTGGAAGAAACCTTGGAGAACTCCAAGCAATTGACAAATTTACTTTAAACGGAGCGGGACCTTCCCTGCTCCAGAAATAAAGAAACCAAATTAACCAACAGACTAAATGAGGCCTTTCTTCGCATATAATACACACGAAGTAGTCTCCGTAAGCACGATCTTAATACGAGAGTAAGCGGCATGCGTACTTTGGGCTTAAAACGAAGTGTGTATATCTAGTCGGCACTAGTCGGCATAAGTATTTGGACAAAATTGTCAGCTTCTTTTGAAAATGGGTTAACTAATGTTGCGAAGATGATAAGCAAAGCAAAGAATGAATATTTAGCACACAGAATGCCAATTTTTATACGGCTTACCCATTGCATTCTCTTTCTACTTAGAAGAATGCACGCAGACAATCAATTTGTGTTTGGCATAAGTATTTTCACATTCTCATTTAGTAAATGGTATCCTGCTTTTGAGCACGTGTAAATAAACAATTCCTTAAATTTCACTTTTTTCGATATTAAACGTTATTAAAAAACAAAAAATTAATTGATGTCCATGGGTAAAAAGTCTGAGTTAAGTTTGTTTATTAGATCATCAATGGAAGCACAGTTTAACGCTGGGTTTAAAGTAAAAAACATTGCGAAAGAGCTTTTACACATTATGTCGCCTCATACTGTATATTATCAAATTAAAAAGTTTAAAACACACATAATGACTTAAAAAACTTATAAAGAACTGGTCCTAAGCGCAAAACAACATTCGACAAAGATAAAATCCTTATACGGGAATTTAAAAAAAATCCTCTTGCGAAACCCCAAGCCGTTGCAACGCAGTGGAATCTTAACGCCTTCCGAAAAGTGATTGTGATCGTAAGGATCGAGCGCACAGTCCGACGTTTAAAGGACATGAAGACGTATGTATATTGCTAAGAATGTGCCGTAAATTTCAAAAATTAACAAGCTTAAAAGGTTGAAATTTGCAAAAGAACATCTGGACAAGCTAAAGTCGTTCTGGAGAAGTGTTTTATGGACAGATGAAAGCTCTCTCCAGTATAACTCGTCGAAGCATAAAATTTTTGTAAGATAGCCAACTCAGAAAAGGCAAAAAAGCAGCCCGTTTGTTAGAAAGTGAGCCATGGTGGTAAACTGGCCACCTCAAAGTCCAGATTTAAATATTTTTGAGAACATCTGGTCTGGTTTAAAACGCAAAAGAACAGTTTCGATACACAAAACTCGACAGGAGACGATTTCTGAGATCATTTTCCTTTGGAAAGATATAACTCCAAAGATTCTCCATAATTTGGTGGATTCAGTAAAGGACCGACTCCAAAAAGTTATTAATACCAAAGGAGGATATATATTTCATTAATTCTTTCAAAACTCCCAAGCTCCAGCTTCATTTAAACTTATTTTTTGTTATTAAAGGCTTGTCAAAATACTTATGCCAATACAAAAATTCATCATATTTCATTAAATTGCTTATATCTTTTTAGGTTTCAAAAATGAAATATTCGTTTGTTAATTTTTATGTTTCTTTTGACTTTTGACAAATGTTATTTTTTTCACTTTTTTATACATATATCTTGTAAATTTCTTTAGATTTGCCAAAAAACATTTTGCCACGCCCACTCTAACGCCCACAAACCGACCAAAACTCTTACGCCCACACTTTACAACATTTTTTTAGTTTTTTTTCATTTTATTAATATTTTTTTCCACTTTTTACCGATATTTCAGAAAATTTTGAAATTTCCCTTTTGGACTTCCACTAGCTGTGTAACGGGTATCTGATAGTCGGGGAACTCGACTATAGCATTCTATCATGTTTTTTTTCTGTCAAATTTCTATTGGTATAAAAAAAACATTTTGGTCACGCCCACAAAACGACAAAAAGTTTCCACATCTTTTCCTTTGAAATTTTCTTAAATGTGTTATTTGTTCTGCCAATTAATATCAATATGAAAAATTTAAACTTCTCGTTCGCACTCCCACTAGCTGAGTAATGGGTATCTGATATTCAAGGTATTTGACTATGTCTTCTTAGTATAAATAAATAAATTTAAATATTATTATTTTCTCTATAATTTTTGTAGCTATCGTAGCTGTGTCCATGAGTTTGCTACCGATGATGTAAACACTACACAATTGCAAACGAAATCCTTTTCTTTGTGAACGGTTGCAGGCTGTTAGTTTTTTCGTCGTGGTAGGGGAATCATCACTTATTAATGGAATAGTGTAAACTTTTACACCTATGTGAAGCGTTATCCAATGCTTTTTCAATTTTTAGGTCATTTGAATTGTATCAACCCTCTGCAATTACTGATAGAGAGAAGGGTATTTCAATCCATACACTGCAGACTTTAGTAAACTTTGTAACCCCTAGGGTAATTGATTTCCACAAACGAGTTTTCAAGTGTCGCCCATGAATTATCTAATTGGCGATTGATGGACTTATAATCACGACATTGGCGGCCCTATAAAAGGACATTGCAGAGGGCGCTTTAGTTCAATAATTGAAGTTCGAGTGCATTCACTATGTATCTGCGGAAGTTGTTTCCGGCCTTGTTCACCCAACCGGAGGATTCCCCAGTTCGCTCCCGAGACGGAACTCTATACTTACTGCGCTGCGTCTTTTTAATGGGCGTCCGCAAGCCACCAGCCAAGTTTTTCGTGGCCTACGTACTGTGGTCCTTCGCACTGAACTTTTTCTCCACGTTTTATCAGCCCATTGGCTTCCTCACAGGCTATATCAGCCATTTGTCGGAGTTCTCCCCGGGAGAGTTTCTAACGTCGCTGCAGGTGGCCTTTAATGCTTGGTCCTGCTCTACAAAAGTGCTGATAGTGTGGGTACTAGTTAAGCGCTTTGACGAGGCTAATGCCATTCTCGACGAGATGGATAGGCGTATCACAGAACCCGAAGAGCGTCTTCAGATTCATCGCGCTGTTTCCCTCAGTAACCGTATATTCTTTTTTTTCATGGCGGTCTACATGATTTATGCCACTAATACGTTTCTGTCGGCGATCTTTATTGGAAGGCCACCGTACCAAAATTACTACCCTTTTCTGGACTGGCGATCTAGCACTCTGCATCTGGCTCTGCAGGCCGGCCTGGAATACTTCGCCATGGCTGGCGCCTGCTTCCAGGACGTATGCGTTGATTGCTACCCAGTCAACTTCGTCCTAGTCCTGCGTGCCCACATGCCGATCTTCGAGAAGCGCCTTCGACGTTTGGGAACGTCTCCTGCTGAAAGCCAGCAGCAAAGATATGAACGACTGGTTGAGTGCATACAAGATCACAAAGTTATTCTGCGGTAAGGGACTGGCAACTGTTATTTCATGCAAAGGGAAATTATACATACTTCTAAACAGAATATAAATAAGAATTGGGGTCAATCTAACCTAAGCAGAAAAGGGAGCTAGCATCTAGTATCTGTACATTTAAATAACAGAGACTATCCCCGACTATCATATACCCGTTACTCAGGTAGTGGAAGTGCGATCGAGAAAATTCCATTTCTGGAATATCGGTAGAAATAAGGGGAAAACATTTAAATAAGCAATGATTAAAACAATATTTTTTAATTTTTTTACATATTTTGTAATCTACAGATTTGCCAACATGTTTTTGCCACGCCCACAAAATGCTCAAAACTGTCACACCCATACAAAAAAAAAATTTTGTGATATTTTTACATTTTTAAATATATCTTGTTTAGGTTTTTAGGTAATGTTGAAAAATCTCTCGCGCACTTCCACTACCTGAGTAACGGGTATCTGATAGTCGGGGAACTCGACTATAGCATTCT